CCATAAATTCTGGGCATTAGCACACTAAACAGTGGTGGGGGGCCTGAAAAAGGATGCAGCTTCTCAGAGGCCTTATGACCTGAAAGGAGTAAGGCTCTTAGTGTATTCAGCCTTCTGGATGTTTCATATATAACCTGAAACTCTTGACTCACGTATATCAACTAATAGTCTTCCTTCTGTAACATGAACTGCAGTGTCTGTATACGGCCTTCCATTATCTGGTAGTAGCATCTTGAAACTGGTCCAAACTTGAATGCAAATAGATCACTACTCAGAATATATATGATTCTGCACTTGGGAAAAAAAAAAGTCTTCATGCTGTTTGTCTGATTGCTGAGGGGTGTGGGGTTCCCAGAAGGTGGATTTGGGGCTTTAGGTCTTGAGGATCAGTATAAGTGGATCATAAGCCATTAGTGTCACAACTGCAGGCGTGGCACTCCCAGCTCAGAGGGGATTCCGTGGCCACTGGGGATGGGGTGAGAAGGAAAGGGAAGGAGAAGGGTCTGGGATAGTTTGGGGACATTTCAGTGGAAGAAATAAATTGTGATTATCTGGAATTCTAGTGGGAAGGAAGAAGAAATGGCTCTTGTGTGGGGGTTGTTTGAATGAAAGAATCATGACTATGTATTGGGGTCTTTGAAACTATTCTGTATAAGGAAAATGAGCTGTATGGATTTCCATGCACCTTAGTGGAAGGAGAGACGTGCTTCAACCCTTCCGTAAGTCCTGATGAAGGCTGGTCTTAAGAATGCTCTGAATGTAAATTGGAGGAAGATTGAAGCAGCTAGTTGGGGTCCCACGATCACCCAGTTAACAGGTGACCCTGCCAGAAGTTCATGACCAGAATGCCACATGAAAGCAATGGTAGAGCCCTGTCAGAAGGTGAGCCAAAGGCAGTGAAACGGGACACTTCAGCCCAATACTTTTCTGTGCACCTGGAGGTGAGGCTTCCCTCTGCTGTCAGTCTATGCCAGTGCTTTGGGGAGAGCCCTGACAGCAGCCCTCACTGTCCTTGGAGCTAGTGTTCCTAGATCTGCTGCCAGAGCCTCATGGAAAACCTGGTGCTATTTGTGGCTGCCTCTGAGACTCCAGATCAGATCGTGGCTCAAAATGTTGGTCACCTTGAAGACCACCCAGCTTAGGAATATGTTCTTTAATCCTTTGTTAAAACTGTCGTATGCTTCCATTCCTGGTCTCTGTCTAGACTCGGCCGCCCTCCTTTCTAAAACTCACACAAGCTGAGTACGAAAACTTGGACCCTGTGGGCCCTTCTGTTTCCTCCTCCAGGTGCGGATCCCACATCCTAGGCCCTGTGCTGACATCCCAACCCCATCTGGCAGTCTCACTGTGCCATTTCATATTCACTGGGTCTCTGAGGTCACATTCAGAAGGTCACCTATCTAGCCAGTTTGGAGGCCACAGGAATAGCAGTGAGTTGGAACCAGTTCAGTCCCAGAGGCCAAGGTCACTTAGCTGGTCAGCAGCAAGGCTGGGACCCAGGCAGACTGATTCCCCACCACATTAGCATCCTGCCAGTGGTGGCTCTGTTATTCCACGACATCCAGGACTTGCTGCCACCCTGGACCTACCCTGTGCTCATCCCCCATCTGCTGAGCCTCTGCTCTGGATCAACATGGCGTTCATGTGCCCACTGTGAAGAATTCAGCTCTTGGATGCCGTTTAGGTAAGAGCCCCAAGGGCAGATATGAGATTTCCATGGTGCAAGCTGGCTTACGGCCTGTGCCTTCTGTAGACCAACCAAGACCTTGTGGCCCCACCTCACCCCATCAGTGATGGGATGTTCAGGGGAAGGCCCGTTTGGCTCATGTTCTCTCACTGTAGAATGTCTTGGATTTGCAGAGGTCTTTGTGGATCTCTGTGGAAGTCAAGGGCTTGAAGGTCCCAAACTTCCAACAGGCGTGCCTGCGGGGGGGGTTGCTGACTGATACATGTTAGTTGCAATCAGTCACAAAGTCAAATGTTTCCTCCCACATGCCATTCCAAGTGCATCCCTCTTGCAGTCGGCCACTAGGCACAGACTCTGCCCTGTTGTAGCCCGTATGTCAGTTGAAGACTCCTTGCCCCTTGATATCCTTTGGATCTCTTTGATTTCTAATGGACTTACATTTTGGCAGTCACTGCCAGCTCCAGACTGCTGCTACCTCATTGTAAGCACCAATGGAGTCTCATCCCTGCACTGCATCAGCTGAGGCATGTTCAGCTCCCCCACCCCCACTTCCACACACACCAAAATTCAAATGAGTCAGTGTGGGCGCATGTCTCTGTGTGTGTTTCAGTGATGTGGGAGGAAATGGGAGACGGAGATGCTGCAGCCATGCAGACAGAGAGCCCCCATTCACAAAATATTCTTCTGATCCCTTCCAGAGGAATCCACTCCTCCCCAACGCCATGTGGTACCTGTCTCCCTTCTCTGGACAAACCAAATTCATTTACGGTCTCACGAACAGGGCATAGCCATTCCTTTTCTTAATTGGATTCCTGCCAACACCCCTCCCTCCCTTCAAGATTTCACCTTCTACCATGGATGGCTTATTAAAGGCATTTCCCTAAACAAAAGACCACTCCCTCCTCAGGAGGAGTGATACATTTTTCATTCCCACTACGCTAGCCAGGCATAACAAGCACCATCGTCACCACTAGCTGCCAGGGTCGTCATGCTTTACGGAGGTCCACTGGGACTAATGTGAATGGTGGCGGTTTGAGTCAGTCCCGGTTCAAATCCTGGCTTGGTAACTTATGGCTTGTGTGACCTCGGGAAAGTCACTTAATCTTGCTAAACCTTTGCATCATCACCTCTAAATGCGATAAACAAACAACATCTTAAATGTGAGGCTCTTAACCACAGGTCTGGCTTTCAGCAGGTTTCTCTCTTCTTGCTTCCTCCGCTGTCAGCAATCACAAACAGCTCCCTCCCGTGATCATGGCCCAGTGCCAAGGGATAAAAGCTGGCAGACAGCAGCTTTACAGCTGGGAAAAGAGATGTGGGGGAGGGAGGGGTTAGGGTTGGTGGCTGCTCAGGCATGCTGTGGTTTAGGCTTACTGATTAGAAGGTCCTGTCCACCCCTGAGATTCTGTGATGCTATGGTGTAAGAGATAGGGGGTGTACCCAGCTTGGAAATACCCTGGAGGAAAGCCTGCCTCAGGCAACTGCGAGGCTGGGAAGCAGAGGAGCAGAGTGACCTTGGATGATTTAGCACCTGGTTTCTTTGGCTCTTCCTGTATGAGGTTTGCTGGCTTTGCGTCAAATGGAAGGAGGAGGTGCCAGGATTTGAATTAAACCTGTCAAACAGAGGGTGAGGGGAGTGCAGAAGGCCAGGGAGGCTGTGTAGGGAACCCTGATAGCCCGACAGCACCATCTGGACTTGGCA